GAAAGCTTTCATCAAATTATTTCATCAACACAAATCAATTATTCATGCATAACAAGATCAACTCAAGCTTGAAAACAAGGGATCATGACAAAACTAACAAGTTAACGAAGACAATCAATAGTCATAAAAATCGAGATATTCCATCAAACTAACATAGATATAATAAGGTGAAATTCTCACTCTACCCCCTCACTTAAAGAGTATTGTCCCAATATGAAATAAATAAAGTAAAGGAGAAGAGGTAGAATATTCCTCATGTCTACCGTTGATGGGCTTTCAGGTGGTATAGGAACATTGAACTTTATTCGAATCAACGCCGTGTCCATAATTTTGATCTCGATCAGAAAATATCTGGTGTAGCTAAAAAATATATATAAAAAATAAAGACAAAAACTAAATAAAATAAAATAAAAATAATAAAATGGATTGCCTCCCATTATAGTGTTTTTGTTTAAAGTCGTTAGCTCAATGACCTGATTCATACTACATGTTCCGCGAGAGATACTTCCTCCACTTCATACGCTTTTTCCATCGAAGAAATTTCTTATGATAAATTCTATTATCGAAGAATTTTTTCCTTTTATCCTTGTAGATTTTGTCATTCTCAAAGACTTTTATTCGAATCTTTTTCATCTTTAAAAGTTTATCCAAAATCGATAAATTATCTACTTCACCCAAAAGTGTTTTATTTAAATGTTTCGGAAGCGATTTTAATTCCAAATTTAATGCCTACAAAATAGATGGAAAAATTTAGATTGAGAAGACATCAAATTTAAATTCTTACTTAGCTTTTCTCTAGATAAATGCGAGTCCACATTAGAAGCAATATCAGTTCCAACTTTCGAATTCCTATACAACTCATCAAAAAAATCATGTTCAACATATTCATTCACATAAAGTTTAATTATATCGACAAAGCTAACATTAGCCATAGAATCAGGATGTTTCATCACTTTGTAAAAATCAAATTTTACCACTTCATAGTCAAATTACATGGTAAGAGTTCCGCTTCTAACATCGATTTTAGTGTTAGACATGGTTAGGAAGGGTCTTCCGAGTAGAATTTCTGAAGAGTTATTGGAACGATCATCTTCCATGTCAATTACGTAAAAATCCGTTGGAAAAATAAATTATTTACATTTACCAATACATTTTCAAGATCTCCTTTAGGATACACCACATATCTATCACCAAGTTGGATTTTTACACATGTTTCCTTAAAGACTCAGCACTAAGTTATATATCGAAAGAGGCATAACATTTATTGAATCACCCAAATCACACATAGCTCATTCTATACCTATTTTACCAACTTTACAATGAATAGCAAAAATATCCTGATCCTTGTAATTAGGTGGAATTTTACGTTAAAAGACAAGAGTAATATTTTCACCTAAGTTTGCATTTTCATTTCCGGTAAGATTTCTTTTAATTGTGCAAAGATCCTTAAAAAATCTAGCATACTGTGGAATTTTTTTGATACATCAATGAGGGGTATATTAACCTCGACCTTCTGAAAAACATCAAGTATCTCTTTCTCCTTAGCTTGTTTGTTGCACTTAATTAGTCTAGATGAAAAATGAGGTGGAACAACATAGGGATATGGTGTAGTAGATAACGCGGGGATGATGTAGAAGATGACATTGATGTTTTTGACTATTTCTTATTCTCTTAGGTTATTGCGTCAACTACTTTGGGTGACTCAGTGTCAACGACAGTGCCACATCGAATAGTCATGGCACTGGCGTTTTGCCTTGAATTAGGCTCTTTTTGCTATGGTAACTTCCCTTGAGACTCTAATCACCCCATGGTTTGAGCCAATTGACTCATCTGTTTATCCAACTCTTTTAAGTGTGCTTTGGTTCGATCTGAAACTTATCCTGAGATATCGCCAATCGCTCCACAATCGATTTTAATGATGATTTTGGTGGCTGGTACTGTTGAGGTAGAGGTGACCTTGGTTGATAAGCTTGATTTGGTCTGGAATTATGCCTATAGTTAAAATTTGGATGATCTTGCCACCCCAAATTATAGGTATTGACGTTAGGATTGTGAGGTTTCTAGGGAGGTCCTGTAAAATTTCTCACTATATCCGCATGAGTCGTAGTATCTTCTTGAAGCATTGGACAATAGTCCGTGGGATGATCCGACATCATGCAGATTCCATATAACTTTGATGGTCTTGTTTTACCTACAATGAGATATTGAACAACATTAGTTAACTTATCAAGTTTATCCTCTAAAGAATGAGTACTTATCTCATGGACCCGTCGTGAGGGTTCACTGGATGGGTAATTTTTTTTAGAGTTGGCAGCAATAGTAGAAATCATATATCTGGCCCCTGCGGGAGTCATATTGATGAGATCTCCTCCACTTGTTGCATCATTCATCTTCATCTCTATAATAAGTAAGCCTTCATAGAAGTACTGGAGAAGAGTTTGTTCAGTTAATTAGTGTTATGAACAGCTAGTTCATAGCTTCTTGAACCGTTCCAGTAATCATATAGTGACTCGTTATCTTTCTAGCAAACTTCAAAGATGTTTTTCCTTAATTCACTTATTTTTGCCGCAGGAAAGAACATGTCAAGAAAAAGTTGAGTCATGTTAGTCCACGTAGTAACATAATTTGGTGGTAAATAAAATAACCAATCCTTAACCAAATCAGTTAAAGAAAACGGGAAAAATGTGAAGTTTAATCTAATCCTCAGTTACTCCCTATAATTTCATGCTGAAGAAAACCATATTAAATTCGGTGAGATGTTTATACGGGTTTTCACTTGGTAATCCGTAGAAGGTAGGGAGAAGATGAATTAACCACGTCTTGAGCTCAAAAGATGTTTTCCATAAGAGAATGTGATATATAACGGTGTTATTTCTCAAATTGTCTATTGATCAATTTTCATTGGTTTTTCAAAGTCTTCTTCTGTGTTATAGTAAAGGTTTCTGCTTCGAAGGGTATCTTCAGATTAAGTTCATATTGTTGTGATTGTTGTTGTTGCCACCTTTCTCGTAGTGTACATGTGTGTATTCTTCGAGCTAGTGCTCAATCTCATGTACCGAATCTGCTAATTCATCTGGATTTTTCCTAGTCATAAATCAAAACAAGAAACAATATTAGTAAATTTGTCAAAGCCCTCGCAACATCGCCAATTTGAATAGCATTGAATTTTCCAAATAAAAATAATTCTTAATTCTCAAATAAATAAATAAAGTAATATAGAGAATTAGGGTTGATCTACAGAGACTAAGGAAGTTTGATAATGTTGTTCCTTGGATTGAATCAACTGCAAGAAAAAAAGGAGATTTAAAATTAATGAAAATAAATGAATAAAATAAATAAATAAAAAATAATAATGAGAAAATAAATAAAGTAGAAGAATTCAATAAAGATGATATAGACTCAAGTTTTGCTTAGCCTCAATTTTGATAGATTATCGAAATAAAAATTTTCCTTCGTGATGTATGCCGATTACAGTCAATAAGGCCCACCCAACCCCTCTAACTTACTCTTTTCTTCGGTTAATCAAAATTTCCAAGTCTATCTCCGAAATCCAATCTTTTTTGGTCTAGCCAAATCTATCACTGTTAGATCCAAAATAATTTTAAATTCTGGAAAATTTTGACTCGAGTTATAGTGTCTCACCGAGAATAGAACTTGATCTTGATTCCCCTTAACGGACCACCTCTAAGTTTGTTCACAAGAAGTCGAATTACTACCAATCGATTCGACTTCCAAACTTCAAGCAAAACAGTCTTCAAAACAATATGTAGCTTTTGAGTTGAATATGTAATAACCTTTAAGAGAATAACCGATTGTCACTCCCAGTTTCCAGAGAATCAAGAATACAATATGAAGGTATAAAGATTAAGATTCAATTCTCACGTATAGAATTGAGTTTTGCAAAAACCTTTGGCTAAGTAGAAGTTTAGCCAAGCATGGATTGGATCTTGTTTAGTATTGTGAAAAGAAAATAATGAAAGAAAATAAAGAATGAAAGATGGAGATGAAAGAAAAGTATAACTTCAATAAATAACCAAGGAAAATAAATTTCAATATGAGTTTCAACTATTAAACTTAAGGGTATTTATAACCCGATAGTTCTAAGAAAATAAAATAACTAAATCCTAAAACAATAAAACTAAAAATCCTAATAAGAGTTCTAATAAAATAACTAATTCTTAAATAAAATAATAATAGAATAATCAAACTAAAAATATTAAATTAAAAGGTTTATCACAAAAGATAGATAGAGGCAACCTGCATTTTGGGACTCAATTTTTGACTATAGTAGGCCAGTGGTCTGTTGTCTTGGGATAAGACCACGCCAATTCCAACCCCGTAAGCATCTGTTTCGATCACAAATTCTTTCTCAAAATCAGGCAGACGCAATACTAGAGCTGAACACAAGAGTTGAACGCAAATAAGTTTTTAGAGATCGAAAGCCCCTTGAGCTGCTACAGTCCACTGGAAAGTGTTATCTTTCTTTAATAAATCCGTTAGAGGTGCTTCCAAAGTGGTTTAACCTCGAATGAACCTTCGATAGTACCCTGTAATACCAAAAAAAGTGCGTATGACCCTGGTGAAAGTAGGCACAAACCAAGCTCGAATTGCTTCGATTTTGGTCGAATCGACTGCTAGTCCATTACTAGACACCACATGACCCAAATATTCGACATATTCTTGCCCAAAGGAACACTTCGACCTTTTCGCAACAAGCCCATGGTGTTGTAGTGTCAGTGTTAACTATAGATGAAGCTTAGAAAGAAAGTGCAAGAAAAGGGTGCTAAACATTGAATGTTATTCATTCTTCATTTACAGAGATGTGTAGCTATTTAAAGCTACCAATGAGCTATTGCATGGTTGGTTATAACTAATCTACAACTAATTAACTACTTAACCATATATGGTTTAACATTCACCTTGCTTCTTAAAAACTTCCTCAAACTCAAAAACACACAATTTACTTCTGAAAAAATCAAATTTGATCAAGGGAAGTGGCTTTGTCAGTATATCTTCTACTTGGCTACTAGTTGGAACATAATTGATTTGAACTTCAAGAGCTGCCATCTTTTCTCGCACAAAATGTAAGTCTAGTTCGATATGCTTGCTCTTTGCATGTAGTATGGGGTTTACAACCATAGCTACTGCACTGGTGTTGTCACACCACACCTTGGGCTCTTCGGGCAGTGTGATCTTTATCTCATTCAACACAACCTTACTCCACACAACTTCAGAGGTGGCATCAGCAAGGCTCATGTACTCAACTTCTGCAGTGGACCTGGATACAACACATTGCTTTTTCGAGCTCCATGCCAGCAGATGGTTCCCATTGTAAACATAATATCTAGAAATAGACATTCTGTCATCAGCATCTCCTCCCTAATCGGAGTTCGAGAAGACATTGTGTACCACCAGTTTTTGTGCTTGAGTTGAAAACCAAAGACCATTTTCTAGTATTCCTCGTAAGTACCTCAATATACGCTTGACAACAAGCCAATGTGCCTCAGTGGGCCCTTGCAGGAACTGTGTAGCTTTGTTGACTGTAAATGAAATATTTGTCCTTGTGTGACAGATGTAATGCAGTGTCCCAACTATACTTCTATATTGTTGTGGTTTGCTTAACACTTCTCCATCATTCTTACTAAGTTTGGTTGTTGTTGCCATGGGAGTGGAGGTTGAGTTTACATTCATCATTTGATTCTTTTGCAGTAGCTCAGTAACAAACTTATTTTGGTTGAGGAACAAGCCACTGTCTGATCGATGTACTTCTATACCAAGGAAGTACTTAAGTTGTCCAAGAACCTTCAAGGAAAACTTCTCATGCAGTGCATGAATTATTTGATTAATTTCAAATTGAGAGCTCCCTGTGATGAGGATATCATCCACATACACCACCATGTACACTACTTCATGTTTTTCATGGTGAATAAACAGTGAGGAATCTGCTCTCGAAGGCTTGAACCTTAAGCTAAGCAAGAATTCTCTTAGCTTAAGGAACCAGTTTCTTGGAGCTTGTCTCAGGCCATACAGTGCCTTCTTTAGCTTGCACACTAGAACAGCTCCATCATTGGACTGTTCCTCAAAACCAGGAACATGTTGCATGTATACATCCTCGATTAGATCACCTTTTAGAAAGGAATTGTTCACATCCACCTGCCTTATTTTCCAGTGGCATGAAACAACCAACGAAATCAATATGTTTATTGTGAAAAACCAAACCACAGGACTGAATGTGTCTATAAAATCATAGCCTGGTATTTGAGAATACCCCTTGGCAACCAGTCTAGCCTTCAATCTTTCTACTGAGCCATCAACATTCTTCTTCACCTTGAAGAGTCATTTGTAGCCAATGGCTTTCCTACCAGTTAGTAACTCCACAATGTCCCACGTATTATTGCTAATAAGTGCGTTGTATTCAGCCATAACAGCCATCTTCCAGTCATCATCTTTGAGAGCAACTCGGATATCACCAGGCACTTCTTTGCATTGAACCGAGTAGATTTTTGGCTTAAAAATCCCATGCTTGCTCTGAGTTGTCATAGTGTGAGTGTTGGTCATTCTAGCATTTGGAACATTTTCTTGACTTTGAACTTGCTCACTAGAGGTAGACTGTTCATACTGAGAAGATGCATAGGCAGGAGATTCAAGAGCATGAGAGCCCGATTCATTATTTATTGATTGCTCTTCAGCATGCACATGCAGTTCGTTGTCTGTGGCTGCAGGCTGACCTGCACTGCTTGCTTCTATTCTTTGATCAGTACTGGCCCCAGTATTAACACTTAACCTTTGAACAATCCTGGCTTGCTTGTGTGGACTGAAAGCAACTGGAATGACCCTTGATCGAATTACTTCATTACCACTTCTACTGTGAGCTGCTGGCTTGTGAGCAAAAGGAAAGATACATTCATTGAACACCACACTTCTGGAAACATAAATTCTGCCATGATCATCTATGCATTGATAACCACGATACATAGGAGAGTACCCTAGGAAGACACAAGCCTTGGATCAAAAATCCAATTTGTGTGTATTGAACATCCTAAGATTAGGAAAACACTGACACCCAAAAGTTTTAAAGAAACTATAATCAGGAGTCTTGTTATATAGCTTCTGATAAGGAGAGACATTACCAAGGTTCTTGGAGGGCATTATGTTGATGAGGTATACTGCACTGAGGACTGCATAAGACCAAAAGGTTAGAGGCATTGAAGCTTTTGCTAGTAAAGTCAAAGCAGTTTCTACTATGTGCCTGTGTTTCCTTTCCACCACCCCATTTTGTTGTGAGGTATGTGAACATGATTTCCTGAGCTTAACACCAAGTTTATGTTAGACAACATCCAGAAACCGAAACTCTCCTCCATTGTCTGTTTGTAAACCAAGAATTATTGTTTCAAATTGATTAGAAACCAAGGCAGAAAATATTTCAAAAGAGACAACAAACTCACTTTTATTCCTTAACAGATAAACCCAACTGTTTCTTGAGTACAAATCTACAAAACTCACAAAGTATTTGAAACCACTAGAAACAATAGGATCAGGGCCCTATACATCAACTTTTACTAACTCAAATGGTTTTTGTACACGATTTGAGATATATGAAAGGGTTGAGTTTTGCTTTTTCCCATCTGACAGGTTGCACAAACCTCACTTTTGTCTACACTTAGTCTTTTATTGAGGGTTGTCATCATCACCTCAGCTGTTGGATGACCAAGCCTCTTGTGCTACAACCAGTATTCATTGGTGTTTTTAACAACAGTGTGTTTGAGTGTTGTTGTTTCTTGCATAGTCTTACAATCAAAGCTGTACAATCCTCCATCAAGCTTCCCTTCTACCAGCACGACTCATGTGCTTTCATCCTTAATATAACAAACATTTTCATGAAACTCAAAGAAAACTGAATTGTCTTGAATAAATTTCGAAACTAATAAGAGATTCTTATTAATATTTGGAACAAGTAGTATTTGATCAAGCAAGAGATCCCTAGAGGCAGTCTTTAAAGTATTTCTACCAATATGAGTAATTGGAATAGTGGAACCATCTCCTAGATGAACCTTACCACTGCCAGTGTATGCTTGTTTGCTCGAGAATATAGAGGTGGTGCCAGTCACATGGTGTGTGGCTTCTGAATCAGGAAACCATTTCGCATGGTTCAAAGGACCATTAATCATTAATGCATTGACCTGCACATTGTCATTTGGCTCAATGGCAGATGAATCTTCATCTCCTGCACTGCACTTACAAAGGGACTTTAATGCCAGTAAGATATACGAGGAAAGCATGAACACGTATTTACCTGCATGTCAGTAGGCGAGGAGCTTTGTTGAGCAGTTACTCCTTTGAAGTTTTGATCAAACCTATGCCAGTACCTGTCAACTAGGTGGCCTAGCTTTTCACACAATTGACACTGTTGTTTAGGTCTTCCCTTATACTTGTTACTCGTGGTATTGTTGGGCTTAGAAGTCCCACGATTCTTATATTATTGAGTATCCGAGGCCTGGTTGGTGTTGTAGTGTGTGAAATTAACACCTATTAGAAACCTTGATGAGTCATCAAGAGGAGACTCAACATAAAAAAGAAACGAGACCAGATTATCGAGGGCAAATGGATTTCTACTTGCAGTGATCGCAACCACTGTTGGCTCATATTAGACTGAAAGTCCATTAAGAATGGTGGCATTGTGATCAATGTCTGAAATGGGATTACCACACGTGGCCAAGATATCACATATATCTTTAATGGCCATGGTGTAGTCTCTCATAGACTGAGAGCCTTTCTTCATCGATCTAAGGCGACAATGCAAGGCCATTATTTTTGTGGTAGACAGTTTAGAATATAACCTGGTGATAGTATTCCAGAATGCAGCTGTGGATTCAACACCAACCAATTAAGGCAGAATGTTGGTGCTAACAGTGGAAAGAAGCCAAGAAGCCAAAGAACTATCTTGCTTGACATATCGAAGATAAGCTGGATTAACAACTTGCTCTCCAGCCTCGTTGAGTATCATCTTTGCTGGAACCACCATGGATTCATCAAGAAAGCTTTCAAGTCCAAGCCCTCTGATTGTGAGAATCACTTGTTGCTTCCAAAGAAGATAGTTCGAGTCAATTAAGCATACATCGATTCTTTTATTAGCAAAGGTGTACGAGCTGGCTTCTGTCAGATGCTCATCCTCGACTATCATTGACATGCCTTGGACCATGACTGTTCTTCGAAGACAAACAAGAACCAGAAAGCAAGAACGGAGAAAAAATAGCACATAACAGAGCCTTTTCAGGATCTAATGGTGAATGATACCATGTTAACTATAGATGAAGCTTAGAAAGAAAGTGCAAGAAAAGGGTGCTAAACATTGAATGTTATTCATTCTTCATTTACAGAGATGTGTAGCTATTTAAAGCTACCAATGAGCTGTTGCATGGTTGGTTATAACTAACCTACAACCAATTAACTGCTTAACCATATATGGTTTAACAGTCAGTAATATTTGTCGTAAATGTTGAAGGTGCTCGAGCCAAGTCTGACTGAAAACCAAAATATCGTTCAAGAAAATCAGTACGAACTTCCGCAAGTAAGGGCAAAAAATGTCATTCATCGTGGCTTGAAAAGTCTAGGGAGTGTTCGTCAAGCCGAATGGCATAACGAGAAACTTGTAATGATCATCGTAAGTACTGAATGTTATTTTGTGTGTATCCTCATTGTGCACCCGAATCTGATGATATCCTGCCAATAGATCGAGCTTAGAAAAGAACTGTGCTTTTCCCAATTCGTCAAATAACTCATCAGTTGTAGGAATGGGAAACTTATCTCGGATAGTGATGGCATTGAGGGCGCGATAGTCAACACAAAATCGCCAAGTACCATCCTTTTTGCGCACTAGTAGTACGGGAGAAGAAAATGGGATAGTGCTCTTCCGAATATGTTGGTTGTCAAGCATTTGACGAACCTGTCTCTCGATCTCGGCCTTTTGGATATAGGGATAACGGTATAGGCAAACGTTAACTGGGGAGCTTGTTGTGTTGAGATGAATAGCATGGTCGTTATGAGGTAAGCCGGGCACTGCTTCAAATACAGGTTGAAATTCATTGAGCAATGTGCGAAGATCAGCTTTATCTTCAGTCAGTTCGGAATTCAAATTTCCTTCAAGTTGTAAACGAAAAACTCAGCGACAGCCCCAGTGTCCGATAATCGTCGCAATGCTTGGAATTGAATTTGTTGGGGGTCCAAATCCGGTATCTCCTTGCCAACAAAAACTATCATTCCGTGGGTTGAATTCAAATGTAAGTCTCATGAAGTCCATATTGACCGGTCCTAGTGTGGCCATCCAAGCCACACCCAAAATGACTTCTGTTCCTTTAAGGGGTAGAACGTAGAAATCCGCGATTGATTCAATCCCTTGAACCAACACTTTCACATTCCGAATGTATTCTTCATTGTGCAACCGTTGGCGATTACCCAAGAGAACCTTGAAATTCGGTGCCACTTGCAGCTTCAAACCCAAATGTTTAGCGACCCTTGATTGAATAAAATTGTGGGTGCTACCCCCATCAATCAAAATGCGCACTGGTTTACCTTGAATCGTCCCTTGAACTCGTAGAGTATTCGGATTGTGGCAACCCGCTAGGACGTTGAAGGACATCGTTTACTGTTCATGGATAGAAATGGTTGGAGTCTCAGTCGCCTCAAAATGTACTGGTTGCGTCTCCGTATCATGTTGCCGCTCATCATCAACAGACTCATTGTTTTTTCATATCAAAGTTTAATAGAGATTCATATCAAAGTTTTTTCATTTAGACCCATAAAAGCTTAATTTACGTTGTACACAAATTGGCTTGCTAGTGAAGTTATATTCCTTGTCTGCCTCCACCACTAAGAAATGGTACATTCATATCTGTGTCCAAACATATCTGTGTCTCAAATACATTGAATGTCTCGTCCTGTGCTTGATTTTATTTGCCTTTATGTGCAATCTCATGAAACATTATAGGTTTTCTCATAACACACTATAAACATGTTAAATCCGATGATATAATCACGCAATGCCATTTAATCACAAAGCTATAACTGCAGGCATTTGATTTGAGGGATCTTCTCTAGTTCATGAGATATTATCCCTGCAGGACCCTGGTAATCAGATCAGCTATGGCCTTTCAGTGGGTAAGGAATGGAACTTTTAACCTGAAAATTTTCCTTTTCTTCCTGTATGTTTCTTGTTATCAGCAGTTCATCTTGTTTTCCTTACGCGCTGTCTATGAATACATAAACATGCTAATCAGTTAACTGCATTGAAACTCTTCAATTATGCCTACCAAGAACCCCTATGTTTTGCTGAGAAACTCCGAACATGTGCCTAATGCCCTGATGCCCTGATTCTATTTTGATCAATAAACAACAGGGAGGTGTATTTCTTCTTCCAGATTGTTGTGATCCATTCAATGAGAAGGCACTCATAGCGAGCCGGGGAGCCTCTTTTCAGGTTGTTGTGATAAAGTAGGCACTAAATGCGTAATTTACCTTTTTTATTATTATTTCATCTCAGGAACTGAGTAATTATCTTAGGTTCATTTCTATGTTGTACAGGGTGCTATAGAAGACTTGGGCTAATATACAGTGAAAACTTAGACATGGTGAGTAAAACTAACAAGGGAATTTTTTTTTAATAGTATGGGTGATTATAAGATAATGTTTGTTCAAGATTCTTTTAGTCTATTGACATTGCACACACATTCTGAAAACATAGTTGCTCGAATTAAGATCTTTTAAGAAAAAACATCATTATTAGCTTATCCAGTAATCAAATACTAATATATTGATTTTATTAATGGATAAAGTTCATCTTGACCTTTTCTATATACCAAACGAAACCAAAGATTATTCAAGTGCCGAGGATTTCGTTTATTCTGTTGTGCATGCATTTCGTACTAGAAAGTAGAAACTTCTGGTTCAGATTCTGTAATAGTTAAGATTTGCTTGAGTCGGGTTACGTTTTCAATCACCATTTTCATCAGTTTCTGAAAATCTGACAGATTTGAACCCAACTCCATGGAAAAACTTAAGAAATAAAAGCTCAGCTTGCATTCAATTGAGCTTCATTTTTCGTAAACTGAATTTGGATAACATTTTATTTACCTTTGGTGATAATATCACGTCTTATATTCTTTTAAAATATTACATTAATTTTAAAATATTATTTTTGATCTAAAAATCGAGACAAAATTAGAGCGAGAAAAAACTAACAATCATTGGGGCAAAGCATGATTGAATATAAATAATATATTTTCATATCAGAGTCGGGACAGTTAAAAAAATTAGTATGTCCAATCCTGTGTCGATCCCTGATAAGAGGCCAAAATTTGAGTCGTTTTATTGTTCTTCTATTTTCATTTTTTCTGACCTTCGTTATAGTTTAAAATAAATAACGAATGTTGTAAGTCAAATGCCAAATACTTTACTGGCGTATTGGTAAAGACGTGCATGATTTTTACTATAAACTTAGGTTCAATTCTCTCCGGCTTCTTTGTTTTGATTTATTTTTCTTGCATCAAACGATGCCACATGTCATTATTTGATTGGAGGAAAATTATTTAAATTAAACCAAAAAAACTCTCCAATGATATTGTGGTATTGACACGTGTCTTTATATGATTGGAAGATTAAATATATTGAATTAATTTAAAATTATAACCATTTTGATAGATTGTGTAAGTAATCAGGACATTGACACGTATATTTATATGATTAGAAGATTAGATATATTGAATTAATTTAAAATTATGATCATTTTGATAGATTATGTAAGTTTTTTTAAAGAAAGTTTTGTATGATTTTATTAGAAATCATACAAAACGAGACAATCGTTATAGGCCTCGTTAAAAAATCTTTATAATCCTAAATAGATGAAAAAGAGTGTGATATACCATTTTGATAGATTATGTAAGTAATAAGGATTAAATATGTAACTATATCAATGTCATTAATTGTCACGTCATCACTTCCATTAAATGTTAACGGCAAGTGGTTTGATTAAATTCATTTAAATAGTTGGGTGACCTGATTGATAAAATTGCAAAAATGATGGTCGAAATGAAAAGGGATTACAGTTAGGTGGTCACTACTATAGTTTACTCTTTTTTATTTAATGTAGAGAAGATAAGATGATTTCAAAATGTTATTAGTCATAACTTACAATTAAGGATGGATAAATGATCCAATTATGCAAATGGTATACAAAGGTTGTGAAAATATAAAAAATGAAACAAAATAGATAAATATTTAACCCCAAAAGACAATATGTGTGCAATGTTATAGTTATGGTCGAACAAATTTTGATTTGATTCAAATAAATATATATACAAATTTTGAATTATTCAAGTTAATTTGAATTTTGAGTGTGATTCAAGTTTGAATCTATAAAGTTTAAATAATTAAAAAAAGACTTCCTTTTAATCTTTGGATAAATAATTTAATTATTTACAATAAAATATTTGATTTTTCATTTTGCATCAATATATTAGTAAACGGTGGTTATTGTCGACAAAAGACGGTTAACAGCTAAGACCTAACTAGATTTTGAGTTGAGTAAGATAAGGGGAGCAAGAAAACAGAAGGAAAAAAGAAAAAAAAATTAAGTAAGATAAAATGAGGGAAATCTTGTTTATATAATTCTCCAAAACGATGCATTTTAAGTAATTATATTAAAACAAGGTAGTTTTAGTCATATCATTACTCCATTTAAATTTACAGTCTTATGTTTACTTTGAAATAAAATGGAAGTCCAATGTTATATTTTAATAGAAAAAATAATAATAAAATGATACAAATATTAAGTTTAATGATATCTGACGTAATTTATCTTTAGGATATATTTGAATCAAGTAAAGTATTAAACGTATAAAATCACATTTAATGCACAGATTATAAACTGATAAAATTAAAAGAGAAGTGGTATAATCATATTATTATCTTAATTTGATTATAATCCTATCTTAAAATTTGAACGAAAACAAATCTATTTTAAAATTAAATTTCTACTTTTCTAAATAGTATTCTTTCCATTAGAGTTGATTTGCCATTCACGAAAGTTTCCCAGTAAGTAGTTCAGGTAACCAAAACTCTTGTTTGGAGCCAATTGTGCAGAGCCATACGCAATTAGATGAATATTGCATCAAACAGATGGAGTTGATTGAATGGAAGAAGGCAATAACAGAAATGTAGGTTATTGTCAAGTAAGATTGGTTGACCTCAACTACTCAGCATTCTTAAAAGTTAAATTTTGCTATATTAATATCCCTCGACGGTTGGATTGGTTCAATTAACTGTTTCATTTAAAACACTTGTTCCACTCCTTGTCATTTGTCTTCGACTGCTTGCATGGTCTTGTCGGCTAAAATGTCAGTAAACTAATTTCCCTAAATTTTTGGATATTAATCCCTTTTTTTTGGTTGGGGGATACTTCAGCTAGTTTTTCTTAACTAATTACCCGCATTTTCTATTTTAATGTCGTTGTTTGTTCAACTTAAATACCAATACCAAAATCTGCACTAAAAGAAATATAATATTCTTTGCACAAACCAAATTACTTTAGTGATTAAAATAATGATTGTTATTTATAAAGATTCTTATTTTGAGCACCAGTAATCGCAACATGAATAATTGAACATTCATTAAAAATAATTTAAAATATTTAAAACATATACTATTTTATAATTACCTTAATTTAATAAAAAAATACAACCTTATTTGTACAATTTTATATATACTCACACCCGCACTCGCAATATAGGTAAACTAATTTTTTTATAATAAGTATAGCGGTAAAGAGGTTTATATATCAATTTATTAATTGAGTTTGATTTATAATTATTTTAATAAATATTATATAAAAGTATGAAAAGAGGGAAAAACACTCTTATAATAATATAACCACCATTAATTTAAAAAAAGAGAATTTTAGGTTTTTTATATCAAATTGATGTCGAGTTAACTTGCTTAATGCCTTACTATAACAATATTTTAGAAAAAAAAATAAGGATATTTCACATAGGCTTTTTTATCTAAAAATCACCAAAAAAAATAAAATAATACCGAGTTGGCATCATTTTCCCAATATTTACTGGAGCAAGAGAGGGGGGAGGCGCATTTTATGAAACATGCCTTGCTGATGTGGAGGGAAGGCGCATTGCAGGGGGCAACCCGCCTTCCATGAGTTTTTGCTCTACTGGCGCCACAGTGGAAGCAAGGGACATGCCTTTAAAGGCGCGTTTCGGGACACATGCCTTTTAATATTAGGTTGAATGGTTTAGGGTTTAGGGTTAAAGTAGTTTAGGGTTAGGGTTTTTATGTTTAACTGGTTTAGGGTTATTTAGAATAAAGCGGTTTAGTTTTTTTTGTTTAAATGGTTTAGGGTTAGATTAAAATTAAATTATTGATTGTAAGAAATAAACCTTAAACCAAAAATAATAAATCTTAAACATTAAATTGTAAAAAAATAAGAATATAAGAAAATGATATCTGGTAAAATAAAATAAAATCACATTAATTGAAAGTACAAGAAAATAAAATCACATAAATTGAAATATTATGAAATACAATTACATAAGTAGTGGTCAACGGTTAAGTGATGATAAAAGATATGAACATCTTTTTTTTCTATTGTGGCCTAGGTTTCTGCAATGCCCACATATTTTGTTTTCTTTTGATGTATCTCGAATATCTATATCACAATAAATTGGAGTGGATTTTGGACGACTTGACTGCTTTAATAAGAACGGATTTGGTATAATTGTAAGCCAAGTCTGAATCTTATTTGGGTCTTTTTCATTACATATGTGGGGAAACTCAAATTCATATACCTTGAATGCTTGTGAAAGTTGGTATACAGGATCAACATAACTTATATAGTCCAAATGAGAATATGAGCAAGTTGCTATAACATAGGAGCATGGATACTTCAGAGCTTGAAAAAACCCATAGTCACACCACCTTTCTTGAAGATTAACTCTAAAATAGTTAGATTCAGTCCCTTGAAGAGGTCCTA